TGCAATATTTCAGTGCACTAAACAGCCCTACCTGCAAATCTCAGCAGGAACATGGCTGGGACAAGGTTGCTCACTGAGGGTGCAAGTGGTGACCACAGACCACCTTACACTTGGCCAGCACCACTTTCTTGCCCTTTTGCAAAATAGGCAAATTCATGCAAATCCTATAAACACTGAATGTGCTGAGTTGGAAGGGACCCACAAAGATCATCAAATCCAACAGGACAGGGCAAGAATCCTGTGGTACCAAGTATCTGGTTTTACCTGGTGTGCAAGGACAGGCAGAAGATGGACCCCATTGCCAGCCAAAGATGGTTCAAGGCCCTTTTGAGTGTGGGCATCACTGTCACCTTTAATGTGTGCCATATAAGAAATGATAGCATTGCAGAAAACAATCAACTTATCCAGCTATTTCAAACTGCTACACTGTTAACCTGGTCCCAAGTGCCTTTCTGCATTAGTTACTCTCAGTGTTTTCTGGGAGGCTAAAGGGCAGAAACAAATGAAAAAAGAAAAAAAGAAAAAAAAGTACAGCAAAATATAGACACTGGTTTCTGTAACTCTCTAAGACACGATTCATGATCATTTAGGTTTGCAACTTTTAAATTCAGACACCAGACTGGAAGATCTAGAACTTTATCAATCTTCTCTTAATCTTGTACTGCTTCTTTCTGAAAAATAGCATTCCTGACAAACAGAAATAAAAAAAAAAATTTATGGGATTTCTGGTTTGAGCAAACACTGTTTTGATCTTTAAATGCATGTATCTTCAGCAAGCCAAGAGAATAATTTCAATAAAATTGACCCATCTAAACAGCCAAAAATCTAGGAGTTTGGCTTCTAAAGAGTGGAAAAAGTGAGTATCATTTAATCTCATTGAAAATAAACCTTAAAAAAAAAGCAACAAACTTGTTGTTTTTTTTCCTAACATTTCCAAGTCTAGTTAAAAGTTAGCAGAGCTGGAAACAAAGACTACATGAGTGAAAACAATAATTGAAAAACTCAACAAAACAACTCCACATTTTAGTAATAATAATTTTAATTTACTAAAGGTAAGTGTGATAGTAGCCTTTCCTAATCCTGTTGTCTCAAATTATTCTTGGCAAATATTAAACAATTTCCTTTTCCTTACCAAGTAGTATAGATTCATTCAGGGTGCTGAAATGAACATGAAAAATTAGATTATTGCACACACACGAAAAAAATTACTGTGTGACTAAGCCCACTACAAATGATTCCCTTATTCCCTATTCCTTATTCTCTAATTTACCTCATGAGAAAAGCCAGAGATTAAAGCAAATATTTGTGGAATGGATCACATTGTCAAAGACTATAAATAGGTTGCGATAAATACAAACAGAATCAGTCTTTTCTTTCAGGCTAGAGCATGAAATTAAATACTTTTCCACTTCCCTCAAAAAATGAAGAAAGAAATTTCCAGAGAAACTAGAGCAGTTTTTGCACCTCATGCCAATTTCAATGACCAAGCCCCAAATTAGGAGGGGTGTTCTTACTGAGGTAAGGGATTTGGGGTCAAACTCTGAGGTCACTTCAGCAGGATGAAGGTTGCCATGGAAAACAGAACAAGAAAAATCACAGTGACCATGTGAAAGAAGCCAGGACCAACTCTGGAGGAAGATGTTGGCTGGTTTGCTCTTTGTTTGAAATGCTGTTTGGATGTGTGTGTTTATGCTGTAAGTTTATTTCTATGTTTAAAAGGAATAAAACTGGAAACAACTTTGAAGCCTCCTTCAGGTCTTTTATACACAAAAAATTATCTTGCAAGTTACCATTAGGATATTTATTAATAAAAAATAAATGAAAAAAAATGCTAACAATACAAAGCCTGTGTTTTGAAAGGGCCCACTTTCTCAATGGAGTAAGTGCAATCCCTATAAGGAATCAAGTGCAATGCTTTTCTCAAGGGCCTTTTGAGTGGATTATTTATTGCTGTTTCCTGTTCAAGTTTTTATGGGCAGGTCAAGTGCCAGTGTTGCTCTGCTCTGTTTGCCAAGAATGATAAAAGCTGGACTCCAATGTGACAACAGGACCATATCTAATTATTAAAGCAAGCAGTGCATGGATTGCAGAGGGGTCTCCCCACCAACCCACTTACCCCCGATTTTACTAATTTAACAGAGAACAGTAGGACCAACAGCAATGATTATTTATAATGGATTCTTTCCAAATTTCATTTTTTAAATTCTCTTTTTCCTCTCTTTTTAAAAAAAGTAAATAAATACAAAAGAATGTACTCTCTCTTCTTCCAATTTAATCACATAGTGGCAATGGGGACTAAAGACCTCTTTCACAGCCATGAGCGAGTCGCAGTCATGCTGTTCTACTTGAATCCCCCATGCTGTGCTGTCAGTGACCTTAGTGGTGACCTGAAGTAATGGTTATATTTCTTTTTTTTTTTTTGTCCTTAGGAGTAACAATTCAGCCTCTGTATTCTAGGCATTTGTTCTGTGCTCCTAGTACCGAACACAGAGACCAATCATTATACCAGTGAGCATTTGTTACATCTTCTTACACAGTCAGAGTTTCAAGGCAAGTTCATTTGAAGACAGACACAACATGTACAGCCCACGATTTACTTAAGGTGTCAATGGCAGGGGTAAATTTATTTTCCTTCAGTGCAACAGTAAAGTGGATCACTTGCTTCCCATTGTAATCAGTTCCACAATTAAGAGAATTTTGAAGATGTTCACTTATTAAATCAGAGATTTTTTGGAAGAACATCAACTACTCCAGACAACATTTAGCCCCATACTGTATAAAGCAAAATGTCATACACATTTACATTTGCAATGAATACAAAAGATGAAAAAAAGTGCAAATGAAACAGAATCCCTGTAAAACTTAAAAAGACTTCTGAGTCTCAAAGTTTTTCTAATATTGTCATCTCTTTCCATTTCTGGGTTTTCCATTAATTCTGTGCTTCTTTTGGAAGCTCAGAAGGAAAGTAAGTTTAAAATGTATATGTACGTGTATGGTTTAAAACATCTAATCCTTCATGTTGGATGAAAGCAAGCTGAGTCTCTGCAGATGTTAATGAAGATTTTACTGGGAGGCAGGTGCATATAAATAAGAAGCATATGGAATGGGGCAACAGTAAACACAATAAGGGCTCAGTGCAGATCTGGACACAACAGAATTTAATCTTTTTTACACTCATGAGATTTCCCACAAAAGTGAACTCAAAAATTCAAGATTTAATACACATAGCTTATATTTGTTGACCAAACCATGATCTGGAAATAGTGATAAAGACTATATTCTTTTTATCAAAATGGTATCACTTAAGCATAGCTTTTTGGTTATTAAAAATGTGATATAATAAACAAACTAAATTTGAAAGCAGGATAAGAGAAACTACTTTTTCATGTGTGAAAGGCTACATTAGCTCAGAAACAGAGACGAAACTGCTTTTAGAAATACTTTAGTGGATGCTATTAGGACATCAGAGGTAAAAAGTGTGAGTACTTTGTGGATCTGAAATATAAGAGGCCATATTCAAAATTACAGATATAAGACTGCAATGTATATGTAATATACATGTATATGTAATAAAAATTAATAAAAATTAATCCGATCTTTGAATTTGGAAGACAATCAGTGCTGAGTTACTACTTGGCAATAACCACAATAGCTGTAATTATGGTAGGTGTTTCCTCAGCAGTGAACATTCCTAAAGCACTACCCTGGAAAACAGCTAATTTGCATATTGCAGAAATAAGTGGGTATGTTTTTCCAGAATGAAGTAGCACTTTTACAAATATTTTTGTGCTTTATTTCTTTAATATCTTCTTTGTTAAAAGTGTTAACTCTGTTCTTTGACCAGGAAGGAGAATGCATGCTTCATCTTTATTCTCTTTATGTGTTCCAAACAACAAGCTAGAGTGAGTTGTTTTCTCATAAAATGGGAAAAATGCACAAAATAAGCAAAAAAATCATACAACCAATGACAAAAAAGATCTTTACCCAGAGTTGAGAAGAGAGGAGAATTTGGCCAGCAAGATTAGAAGCTGGCAAAGTTGAAGCAGAGATCCTTCATCCCTTTCTTATCTGCTAGGTCCTGCCAAGATGTGTGTGATGCCAGGGACCATGAAAATGTTTTGCCTGGAGTATTACAAAAAATCAAGGCCTCCAAATGGTGAAATGGGATGATAGCTTTATAGTCAGACAAAAGGCCATGTCTGGCATAGCAGAAGGCAGCTAGTTAGGGAAATAAAGGAGGACTTGAGTATTAGTACCCCATTTGACAGTACTGTAACCATCAGCATTGCCTTTCTCAGAGGCAGCTGGGCCAGCAACAAGACAGGATGAGTGCCACTGTGCAAGGTCACCTGGATTTATGCGGGAAATGCGTTAAAGTTGGGCTGGTGACAGAAAACAGCTACCAGGGGAAGCAGGGGACTTGTGGGACTCTCTTCTGGGAGGGCTCTGCAGGAAGAGGCTTGCTTACAGATTGCTTAAACCCAACAGAATAAAAGTTGGCAGTACCTGATAGTGCTTTGTATTCCTATACTGAGGGTAAACACCAGGCAGAGACAGACAAGAACTAAAAAGCAACTGGGCTAAACACCCTAAAGATGTCTCAGGTAGAACTCCTTATAAAGCCCAAAGGTCACTGTGATATCTACCAAAAAACATCTTTTCTCTTACAAATGCACTTAAGCAAAACAAGTAAATATAGCCTGCCATGTACTTCTGCTAGAGAACTACTTTTTTAGCAGTTCATTAGTCAAGATAAGCCTGAACTTCAAGCACTCAGACAGTTTGCATCTCAGAAGTAGTTTGGTCTTAATGGGCCAAACATTCTTGAGTTTAAGATAAATCCTCCTCTTCTTTACCCAATAACTGTACTTAATGCCCTGTACAGCAATGAACTTCTCTCAGAACTTATGTGAAAATAAGTATGTTTTTATCACCCAGTTAGGCAGACTTCTTAAATGGCAAGAATCACTAGGATGAAATAGACCCTTGGGTTATTATGGTAATAATAACCTCTTATTATGAAAATCTAAACACCTAAAATGTAAGGTGACATTGTAATTTTTAAACTGTCCTTGCCTACTATGATAAATTATGGTGCAGATAACATGAGATAGCAGTGCTTCATTTAATTTGCTGCCATCTTGGTCCAGAAATGCTTGATTTCAAAATATCCTTGTTTCCAATTCAGAGATGAAACACCTATGTGGACACAATTCCTAAAACAGGAGTGATAAAACATATTTGATTTTGTTTTGTCACAACAAATAGGTCAAGAAAAAACCAACTGAGCTACCTCATATGTCTCACTGAACTTTTTGGTTCATTCCCTATAACCATTCAAAGTGATTTTTCCAGTCTAGCTATTAATGTCACCAGCAATATGAACTTTCACCACTTCCCTTGGAAAGTATCAAGGTCTGATAAAACCTTTAATGTCAAGATAATTTAAAACAGACATCAAGAAAGGTAGATTTCATTTCATAGTCATCTCATTGCACCTCACCTTCAGCTATTTATCTTCCTCCATAACACTTCCTATACTCAGAGATGGCGAATACCATCTTGTCCTGTTTAGGTAACCAAACTGCATTTTGGGGCCTGGATTTTGCATTTGTTTTGTAGTGTGGTTCTACTGAAAGTGGAGAAAGCTATTTTGTCTAAGGGGCAGTGACCAACAGGCTGTTCCAGCTCTTTTGGAACACAGATGTTGAAGTGTCTTTGAACAGTGGTGACATGAGTGCACCTGCAGTGATGCCCACTGAAAGCTGGACTGCAAGAGTTGATCCCTACACACACCCAGGACAGAAGAACCCTTTTACAAAAGGGTTTGTGTGTGAAACCTGTAAATTGCTGATGTGCCACTAACCAGTGTGTCAATGAGTACGTGGAGCCTGACTGCCACAGTTTTGTAAGCAAAGGTGGCATTAAATACAACAAAGGTAACTTCTTGTGTGTAGTGTGTGCACTACATGAGCAGGTGTAGATATATTTGAGATCTTAATGCAACACAGACCTGAAAACAGAAACACATATTGCAATGCCAGCTAGCAGTGAACTGCAGAATAAGTGAAGTGAAGCGGTTCTGCAATGTGCCTTTTCACCTAGTGTTAGGTGAGAGCACCAGCACACAAAGCTACACAGACTTTGTGGTTCTGCATTATAGAACCTGCCACAAAATCTACCCCACTAAGGAAACTGTGTTCCAGAGTCTAGAAGAGGATTTGATATCTTAAAATATAAGCTATGTTCTGAAAAAGAAGATTCAAAAATAATTTTTTTCCATAGGGTTTTTTCCATAATTTTGCTCCATAGGGTTACTTTTTCAGCCAGATCTGTTCTTTCACTAAAGCCAGGAAACAGTAGCTACAGTGAAAAAGCAGAGATGAATTGCCAAAGGAAAGGTTGCTTAAGTGTTGCTGCTGTTGTATGTGCAGCACAGTCTTAGATAAAAATATATGTCTGCTGGTATATATAAATATGTCTGCGTAGGTATGCGTGATATGCATATATATATATATCTGCCATGTGTATATACATGTATGTACGAATTTACACATAGTATAAAAAAATTAAAACTATTCTAAACCAATTTCTCAGTCCCCCTAGTTTTAATATTTGCACTGTAACAGATCTTTACCTCAATAGCAGTGTTAGCTCTTCAGGCTCATGCACTTCCCACTGTTTTTCCTTCTTCCCAACCATCACATTTTCTGAGGAAACTTGATATGTTTGCCATCAAACTTTGCAAAGTTGTTGATGAAGTCTGGAAAGGAAACAAAAATAATTATACAGTGCTTTATCTGCATATTAAAAAGGTAAAACAAACAAACTAACCCCACACAAACATTTTGCCTGTGAGAATAAGGAAAGTCTTAGATGGTTCCTATTCAGGTCAACACGCTTACAAAATATCTGACAATGTCATCCTGACCTCTACTGGAAATCCTCAGCATTTGCAGGATTAAATCGTGGAACATCAGCAATCCAGAACTAATAATTTAAAGATGTAAAAAGTACTTCCCAGCATCTTTTCTACATTGATTACAAGACACTACAGGTAACAGTAGCAGAGAGCTGCAATAGTAGCAGCAGCTAAAGAGAATAAAAAAAAGCACTTTGTAATGTTCCAGTAAGCTCACCTCTACAGCTGGTTATATCTTCCCTGAATATATATAGGGCTTAGTTATTGCGCTCACTTTTAAACCCGTCATTTATCCATATTCATTTTTGAATTTCCATCAAGGTAACGAAAAAGTAAGTCACAATAGGTACAAACATTCCCATCATATCATGTGCTCCCAAAGCACTTAGTGTTTAGAAGACTAATCTGAAGTTCAAAGTGGCATTCAGAAATAGGCAAGAAACTTATCAACTTCTAAAATCTAAGGTACTTGGAAAAGAACGATTAACCCTTCCAAGTTCATACCAGAAATCATAAGTGCTGCACAATTCCCTTATGAAAAGTCCTGGAAGAGGTTAGAAAACTTAGAGCCTGGAAACCATAATTGAAATGTGTAGTTCTGCATTTTAATGCATTCACATCATTTGCTAAAATGGAGTGACATCAAACCTCCTGGAATGGTTGTATTTAGGCTCACGACTTTTCTCAGTATGTAAAAGCAGTATCAGACTGTGAGAGGCTCATAAAACTTCTCCAGAATTTTGAGCTATTTTATTGTTTGCTAAAGCAATTGCTATAGGTGAGTCAAATTTATAATTTTTCTACTCTGCTTGAATCAGACACATAGAAAGCCTGAGCTCATCATCCCAGCTGGAACTGCTCTTGCAAAATCAGTACACACCAGGTGAGGTCTCAGCTGGTGCAACCCATGGCAGTTCCAGGGACCCATGAGGAGACAGACACTCAAGACAGATGTAAGTCCTATGAGGAGCAGTTGAGGGAGCTGGGATTGCTCTGCCTGGAGGACTCTCAGGGACACCTTACCACTCTCTACAACTACTTGAAAAGCAGGTGTAGAGAGATGGGGGTAAGTCTCTTCTCCCAGGCAGCCAGTGATGGGAAAAGAGGACATGGCCTCAAGCTGCACAAGGGAAGGTTGAGGTTGGACACCAGGAGGAATTTCTTCTAGCAGAAAGGATTGCTAATCTTTGGAATGGGCAGCCCAGGGAGGTGGGAGAGTCATCCTTCAGCAGAGGTGTTCAAGAAGTGACTGGACTTATCACTTGGTGCCATGGTCTGGTTGACAAGGTAGACATTAATCAAAGGTTGAATCAAATGATCCTGGAGATCCTTTCCAACTTGAATGATTCTATGATTCTGTGACTGTGAGGAGCAGCAAAGGGAAGATCCTGCAGTAATGCACACAATGAGCAGCTGAAACCAGTTCCCAACCACAGTGGGGAGTGTACTCTGCACGCTATCAATCAAAGCCACCTGGAGCCATCTGGACCATGCAACAACACAAAGTCTGCAAATAGCACAGCAAATAGGCCATTAGAAAAACTAGGGCTTGGCCTGCTGCAGAAACCAAAGCTTTGGCAGAGAGCAAGAAACTTTCTAGTAGGGGCATTTGACAAGAACAGCATTGAAACCAGCATTATTTTAACAGAAAGGAATGACTGGATGTAACCTAATATTTAAATGGTGCAAGCTCATATCGGTGCATACCCAAATGTTGCATATTCTCCCACAGAAAAATTGGCACTCTGAAGGCTAAACTGGGAGCGTGGGGGGGAATCTCCTTCCTACCCTTACAACTTAGGGAACATCTCACATGCCGACTTTCTTCTTACATAACATAAGGTGATAAATCTGCTTGTCACAAATCAGTTACAGAAGAACACAAGCTTCCTAAATGCATCTTCAAACCAAGGGCAGGATTCTCCTTCAGCACCAGATCAAAAGCTCAAGTTGTATTTGAGCTCTAATGAGAAGAAGCCTTATTTACTGGTGGTTGGGGCATAGGGCCAAGAAAGCTTCTGTGTTCCAAATCTGTAGCGTACCAAATTCTTTACAGTTTTGAACAAGTCTGTGGCTCCATTTCTTCATCACATAAATAGGGATTATAGTATTTGGTTACCTCAGCCTCAGAATAATATATACAGTCCTTTTATTTTTGTATTTAACAAGCTCCTACACTACAGGTTTTGCTATCTAAATCTGGAAATTTTCAGATTTCATTGAAAAGAAAGCAGGGGAAAATATGTGAAACAGAAAAATAAAGTGATTCTTACATTAGACTAACACAACTTCAGGTCTGATGAGTTATACAAAAATATCTATAAGGGAGAATCAGAGAAATCCTTGTTTCTCTAGCTGGGTTAGCAATAGGGAAAAACCAAACAACTCCCCAAATGACAGACAAAAATGAAAGCTTCAGACTTAATTCTTTCTATATCTGTTAGTTTCATTCACAACAGCTATTTCTTACAGAAAATTATGTCTACAGCAACCCACAGAGATCTATGCCACTGAGGATACGGTTTGCTCTGCATGCCTCTCTCCCTCATGCTGCAGAAGGAGTGATTCCTGTGGCAACCCACTGGGAAATGGCAACAAAGCCAAATATTGGCCTTTGAGGGAAGAGCAGGCACACTGTGACTCTCCATGGAGCCACACATCACTCCAGAGGGCACCTTGGACAGGTATTAGTGCTGAGGGAAGGAATACACCTGGGACCAGGTCAGTGTGCTGCACCAAAGGCTCGAGGGCAAACTCCTGATGTGCACCCATGGCATCATAGTCAGCATTCCTGCCGAGCCAGGCAAGAGGAGATGCTTTCTACTTTCCACCCAGTGTTAAATACAAGGAGACTTGGAGCCAAGCATGACTTTCCCAAAGGACCTGCATGACGATGCACTAAGGACAGAGCTGGAGATGGGGATCTGGAAGATCTGGGAGGCAGGTCCAGTTTGAGCCAGCCACACGAGTTATGCTCGGGCACCAGATTTCCAGTGGAGTACAAGCAGGTGCTAAATCAGTATGTTTTTAATAGCAAGCATGGTTGTGGTGGTGCCTTTCACACTTTATTACTTGAAGAAAGAGAGCCACCACCTCTCATAGCAAAGCATTCATGTCCCTTTTCAGACTTTGCAAATTGAATAATCTCAAAAATACACACAGAGTAAAATTTCACTGCATGCAGAAAAGAAGAGAAGAATGGGGAAAAAACCCTTTAAAGTCTCAGACCAATTTTGCACTATTTCTTGAACAGAAACAGTTTCTCTCCAAAAATTTACAAATCCAGTGGAAGTGTTTGATAAGGAGAAAGCAATAAGAAGGAAGAGAAGTGATGGCCAAGGCTCACATTAGTAGACAGAAGCTCAGGAGACCCGCAGACAGTGCTGCAACAGTCTCTATTTATAAACATGATGCAGCCAACTCACAGGGGTATTGTGGAGAAAAGATTCACACAGTTTGAAGGATAGGTATTCTGCAGGAGCAAAGAACAAAAGAGTGAACATACAAGGGAAGATTATTAGGAAGTAATGCCTTTCCGTGATTATACAGAACACAGAAAAATTCATGCTACTAATTATGGTACTGGCATAAAAGTTATTCCCACTGTTGTGTCAAAAATGCATATTTAATGGCAAATAGATTTATACAAAGAATTTTGAGGACTAAAACACATTTCAAAGTTATGTCTTTTATTTCCAAGGCTGGGGTTATCTAAGTGGTTTTTATCTCTGATTTTTACCACTAAGACTGGGGCAAGGTACAAATAAAGGTTCTCGACCAGAATAGCTTAATGAAATAGTACTATTTGTACTTTAAATACAAGCAACAAACAGCTTTGAAAGAAGAGCAGTATCACATATTTAAATGTGAAAATTTTCTTTCAAGTTAAAATAGTAAGATCTGAAGCTTGAAGCCAAGCCACAATTCCTTATATATCAGCTGCTAAAATAAGAGGGGGGTTATGCCCTAGACTGGTCCTCTACCAGTAGGACTCCCAAACTGAACAAATATTTTCCAGCAATCCACTTATCATGCCATAGATTTAAACAACCTGGAAAGCAAAGGGTACATATAGAAAAGATGCACTGAACTACACACTGAAACTCAGTGAGGTTTTTCCCACCTCTGCCAAAAATTTACGTTACCTTTACGTTACCTTTTTCAAGAACAAACATATTTCCCAATATCCAAAACTCAAAAGCCTCGGCCAGAATCTTCAAAATACAGAGAAGGTATGTATAATGAGCCTATTGCCATAGGGACACTGAAGTATGAGTGTTCAGAATCTGGAACTATACGATTTTAATCATCTAAACTCCTTGTGTTGAGGCCATGAAAATCTCCTCCCTGTGTATTTGTGGGATTTTTTGGTTACTATAAGAAAATCAAGTTTTGCCTCTTTCCACATAAAGTGAGACAGCAGAACCATAATTGTGGATGGAGTTTTCAAGTACAACTACAATAAAAATAACAGTCTAGCCCCTTTCTGTTTGTTACTTTTTCTTGAGTGTCTCTTGGTATGAAGGAAATCATATAGGGCATGTAGTATACCAGAATGTTTTGACAGTGGTCACTGATACTCTCTTTCAGTCTCAGCACAAAAGATGCATGATTTGTAACTGGTTACAGAATTTATCTTTTAGACAATATGTCTATACATGGAACTGCCTTGCAGAGGGGAACAAAAGTCTTTCTAAAGAAACCTAAACTTGGGTGTAGATCACAGGACAGAGCCTATGGTAGGTTGTAAGAGCATTCAAGGTAAGCGCAAAATGGTCCTAAGAGCAAATCTGTGGGCAACACAACACTGTCAGTGCTCAAATTGTTTCAAGTTGACAGTG